GTGCAAAGGCGCCTGTAGGCCAGCTCCAGCCTGGCCAGCAAGTCATCCACACCTGTGGCGACCGGCAGGGTCTCCCTCCTCTTTCGGGGGGTTGGGCATCATGATGTGCTGGTCCTGGTAAAGTTTTGAGGTTGATTGCTGGCATGGAGGGCACCCCTTGCTCTTCGTGTTCAAACGTCTCTTCTTCTCATTTGGCCCACTCAGGGTGCACAAAAGAGCAGCCACAGCAGTATATGTACAATTTGCATGTCCCAGCAACCAAGGTGGATGTTGCAATGTGTGTGTGTGTGACATGAAAGCCCTTTGGCAAACTGTGTGTCCCAAAGTAACCTGAGACATTTGTTGGGTTTGCATCTGTATACACTCTACAGTGGGCCCTGCGGCCCTATGGCCTATATGGCCTGTGGCATGGCATATGGTGTGTCCTTGAGACGAAGTTTGCCCTAGAAAATCACTTGAATGCATACTCTACTCAATTCATACTGTCACGCTGGTGCTACAAACCTTGCACAGAACTTCAACAACTTTTGAAAAACATATGGAAGTTCTGGTTTTGGTGATCTGGTGGTTTTGGGCCGGTAACGGACCACGTTCCGGACCCGGTACCAGATACTGTGTACCAGGTACCAGGTTCTCCACACTGAAATCCTGTGACACGACCAAGCAAACTTCAGACAAACTCTGGGACCGGATCGGAAACTGGACTGGAAATGTGACATCCAGTGTGACATGCAAATTTCTCTGTGTATACAAGCAGTTCCCGGGCAAGCCGGCGGCGGAAGTTTCCTATAAGAACAAATTGACCTATAGGAGTGTCCACGTTCTCTACAACATGCGCGTCCTCCAGTCAAACGCACGCGCTCCGGACTTTTGACCCACGGGATTCCACGTGTGTAAGGTGTGTGCCCCCTGCAGGATCAGCAGCTCACAACAGCATACTGGGTTGTATCTTTGCCACGACAAGATCAGCAGCCCACAACGGCGTGTTGAACCAACTGGGCATGTACAAGTGTATGTACTACAAAGTGGCCAGTCCTCAGCTTCCAGCTCCACAGGTTGTTCCGCGTGCTAAAGTTGTACTAGAAAGTCGCCAGTCAGTTCTCATCTTCCAGCTCCCCACCAGATGCTCCGCGTACTGCAGTTGTACTACACAGTCGCCAGTTCTCATCGTCCAGCTCGCCAGATACTCCGCGTACTAAAAATTGTACTACAAAGTCGCCAGTTCTCCTCTTCCAGCTCTACAGATTGCTCCGCGTACTAAAGTTGTACTAGAAAG